CATTAGGTTATGGGCTTGCCAGGGACCTCAATCACTGCTACACATCTGTGTCCCTCCCATGCCCAGCTGCTTCACTGCTATTGTGTTGGCTGGATTAAGCTGGCTCCTGCTACAATCACACCTGCAGTTTGCTGTACAGACATACCCTAAGAGACACTCAAAGTGCAACAATACCTAAGCTGGGGAAAGAAACACACATGTAATTACTCTCCCACTCAAGTGAAAAACAGTATCTCTACCTAGAAATCAGACCTTGAAGCATAAGGCTTTAGTGTTTTACAGCCAGATATCCTACATTGACTTATTATTCATATAAAATACAAGAAGCCAGACTGAATCAACATTTGTGACAAACAGAGAAAAAACAGACGCCTATTATACTCCTAGGGTGCCATTAAGTGTTTTGTGACTCAGCATGGTGGGTTTTAACACCTAGTACCTTTCTTCTGTTGGCTTAGACAAACACCATAGCATGCTCTTGGCCCATCTGTCTCTAAAGAGGAGCTGAGAGTCTGCCTAAGAGCAGGTTTTGAAACAGGAAAAGCAGGCCATGGATTTCTTACCACTGACCACTGCAACACCTCCAGAGGGATGAATAAAAGTTTTGAGTACTAAAGAGACCACAGCCATGACTTCTTGCAGCAAAGAGGACCAAAAAGGCCAGCTGAACAATTGACTCCAAGATTTCTGCTCAGAAATAATCACAGCCCATTCAGAACAGCTCGGAGACTATTTTCATCACTTGACACAGCAGGTCTGGAGAGGAGCTGCTCTTTTTGGACTACGCCATCACACATTTACCCCAGTCATTACAGTCAGGGAGCGTAGGAGGATCAGATGAGGTCTTACCCACTCCTGCCACCAGGACATCTCCACTCCTCCAGAACTACAGCACTTCTGTCTGCCAGCTCAAGCGGAGCCCCGCCAGCAGTGATCTGAGCTCATAACTCAGCACCTCATGCCTAATGAATCCGGGATCTTAACCCACTATTACAGCCTCCAGCAAAGCTGCCACATTGGTTGACAGTATCCAAGTACAAAGGAAAAAAAAAAAACAAATCTCAGTTCTTTCTTTTTCATAGCACTGCTTAAGCTTTGCTGTTCACAGAACTAAGACTTTGCGAGGCCCTTTCCCTCTGTCATAGCTCCAGATGTTTTAACTGCAAGCCACCTTCAAGAAGAAAGCATTTTGGTTTTTTCACAACTCTACCCTGTCCCTAACTTTTCATTTGGTGGGGAAAAAGGGAAGGCATTAGGATGAAGCAAAAGCAAAGGAGAGAGTAGATGCCAGATGGCACAGAGCAGCTCTTAAATGGAGTCTCTTTGAGGGAGAGGGGAACACACTTGAATCCTACCTACTGCAAACCTCATTTGCCTGGCAGATGGGAGACACCATGCAGCAGGCCAACACAGTGTCTGGAGGGCTCTGGTTCACTGGATATCTTGGCTTACCTGCGTGGCCAGGCTGAGGACTTGCTGAACCAGCTCCTGTGTCTCAGAAGGCTTTTTTAAGAACAGCTTCACTATAGCAGTCAGTAGGGTGAGCTGCACCTAAAAGAAAGGGACACAGCAGAGATTAGAAAATTCATCCATACTTTAGCAATGTCTCCCAAGTCTCAGTGTCCTTTACTGATATGAAACTCAAGTCCTGTGCTTTGTAACAGCATTACACTCTTCTTTGCTGGTGAAATCCATTACAATGAGACTCACGCTCTTGCATGTCACAAAACACTTTTGCAGACAAGTCCCTGAGCAGCACAGAGATTTATGCGATACTTTTATGCATCTCATCACTATTCTTCTGTATGTTCTGGTCTTTAGTAGGGCTAGTCCCTAAGAAGTATGCAACAGCTAGAAACCCCTCCTGTTCTGTCTCATCCTTCCAAGAAGAGAAGTTTGGGAGATACAGACAACAGAGAAAGTCTACAGACTCCCAAGAGTTTTATTTTAGTCAAATATTGAAGCTTTCATTGGGAGGTATTTTCTGCCCACTACAATATTTACCGTCCATCCCATTCATACACTGCATGAACCACTACAGATAAGATGCACAACACAATTTTACCTGAGTACTTTCATCATGGAAGCCCTCCAAAAAACTCTCCAACAGCTCGTCTGCATTGTCAATTCTTTCTGCATATTCGCCCACTATCCAGATCATGGCAGCTCTGGCATCTGGTTCATCCAGGGAATCTAGGTTCTCGCACAGAGTGGCAATGATGCTTTCATACCTGATTTGTCAGAGTACAGGTGGATTACTGGGGTGAATTCAACTTGTGTTACTCCACATCTGCCCACATCATTCTGCAGAGAATCCTGCACTGAATTACAATGTCTTGTATTTCTACACAACAAGCAGCATTTTCACTCAACTACAGAAGATATTCCTCGGCTTTGTCTTTTTCCAAGCCCAGCACTAAGATCTCACAGGGTTCTCAAGAGCTTTGCAGTTTTGTTAATCAGCAAGATGACCCAGGTGTGGAATTCAAGACAAAGCTGCCCCCTCTCTGTTTTGCTAAAGGGAATATTTGATCCAACAGTTCAAACCATGAGTCTGTATCAGATCCTGTAGCCTTGCTGGCGTCTTCAGGTTGGTAACTCTTAACTGGATATTACACTTCCCCAAAGGCTTTGCCGTAAAACAGACAATACCCCACGCTGATTATTTAGCTTCCCCTATTCCCATGTGTGGGTATCCCTGTCATAAGCAGGCAATCTATCTTGTAACTGACAGCAGAAATTGCCAGAGAGGCCTGCAGATGTCCCATATTACTTTTTAGGCGATCATGAAGTCCCTGCTGAAAGACACTGCTGCTGTTCTGTACCTGAAGAGACAAAACCTTATTGCAGAAACAGCTTAAAAGAAGCTGAGTACTGCCCAAGCCGGAGAGAACACTTGATGGAGAAAGCCAGCAGCATTTTGTTCAGCACAATCCAACTGGGATCTCAGACCACGACAGCCATGAACTTTCATGGCCTTGTATGTAAGGAGACGAGCAAAACTAGAAGCCTGATGCTGTAAACTTGGTCAAATTTTCCTTCTGGCATTCTCTGGAAGAGCTTTACTAACTTTTGATTAAGGCTTATACTCAGCATCAATATGGAGCGGTGGGGAAGGCAAAGCTTTCAATTCAAAAGCTAATAAGGTGTCAGGCTGATACCCCATCTAGAGCCAACACCTGAATCCTACCATACTAGGAGCTAGAATCAGAATGGACACTGCTTTTCAGAAAAACCACCACCTTTGCTTCAGAGCCCTGGCAGGCTATGCTGAATGAGTTTTACATTGCTCTGTTCTGATGCTAGCAGTCAAGGGCTTCCAAAAACCTTATCCTACTTTCACATACTTGTTAGGGTACTTGCGGAAGATGTCTCTGATGACAACAATGGCCTCCTGGACCACATAGTTGACCTTGGTCTGGATGAGGTCCAGCAGTGTGCTCACGCAGCGCTCCGCAGATTGCTAGAGAAAAGAACAGAACAGTACAATTAAAATGAGCTGAAGAAACACTCCTTCCCAGCCCACAGCACACACTGAGGAACGAGGCGTGCATATGAGAAAAGGCCCAGAGGGGAAAAACAAAAGGATGACAGCTACCAACTCAATATGCACGTCCAGAAAAAAAACCTACAGGTTGACAAATGCTTGTGTATTGCAGCGGAGGTACCAGCTGACTCCCGCTCCTACAAAAGAGTAATGCTTGAAGCAATCATGGCAGTAGATAGCCGGATCACCACACAAGAGACCTTAAGAACATTGCCTGGATTACCACTTATATCACCCTCTTTCTGGCTAGCAGTTGAAACAGGTGACCGAATGGGCTCTCTTGGACTTGCCCAAGCTGTGGGAACCAGAGCTGGGAGAGTTTTGACAGAGACTGCTGGAAGTTGTCTGGGGAAGCTAGAAGGCAGGAGAAAACCATGCTGTCAATCGCACTGCAAGAACAGCAGCAAAAAGCAGCTCACACCAGCAAGAGGTTCGGTATTTTTGGGGTGAGGTCACCAGCAACATGTGAAGATAACAGCTATCAATAGAAATCCAGCTGTTGCTAATGCAGCTTTCACATTAATTAGTTCAAAATTCCCAGCCACGGGCACTGTAAGATAACAAGGACTGGACACTGGCATGCTCCAGGAACCAAACTGGAATTAGAGGCAAATAATTCAGGGATATCTATTCTCAAATAGCACAGCGAGGCAGGACATCACAGGAGCAACCGACTCCAGCACCAGAGAGTCACAAATAAGGACAGCAATTTGGCTATTAGCAGAGCACATATGAAGCCTCATTACACAGCTGGTGATTAATTGAGAAGCAGACTGCTCACAACACTGCCTAGGCAGTCAGCATCAGAACATTCATAAAGCATTCAAGATCGAGACAAACATCGTAGGGCATAAACAATAGCAACGTAGGTGGATTTTTCAATTCAAGTGAGCTAATAGTTCACTCTCAGAGCACTTGAAGGCTGGGCAGAAGAAGGAACGAAATGGCATTTAAGTCACAGGAATCAGTTTTTTGAGAATGGGCAAATATCTCAAGGACAAACCTCAAGACTTGTAGAGCTGAATTTGGGACAAGCAGAGCCTAAAATCTCTTGGTGATTTCTTGCCCTCGTTACTCTAGCTGCAGTATCTTACAAACACAGCCTACAAGCGCAAACACTGGCAATGCTGGCACAGAGATCAGCCAAGAGAGGAGACACTATAAACCAGCATTTGCTCTCTTTGCAAACTGGCACTAAAGGCCATAAGACTCTCCCCTGAAATTCACACCACAGAGAAAAAAAATCCAGTACAATTGGTATCAGAGAAAGGAGAGGTTTCATATAAAGTTACATGATGGGTATATTTTTTTACGATATCTCTCCCTCCTTAGCACAGCTTTACAGGTACTATGCCACCACAGAGGTAGTGAAATGGCAATCTGACAGTGTCCTACTCTCATCTCTTCTCCTGCTCAAGAAGGGATTTGAGGTCTGTGACCCGGAAGACTCTTCCATTTCGTGGATACTGACTGTGGACCTGGCTCCACATAGATTGACATTGCTCACAGTGGGAACCCCACGCGAAGTCCTTGCAAGATAGATGCTTCAGAGCTTGGAACTTCATCTCTTATCAGTTTCTGAACTTTTATTACATTTTTTAACAAGTGGCCTTAAGGGGCACTTGGGGTGAATCTGTCCTAAGCCAACTTGGCTTTACAGCATCAGTCACTGTTTGCAAGAAGCAGTCCAGCCCTGTCAGAGCCTACAAATAGCAAAGCTTTAAGAGCTGCAGAATTCAAGGAAAAGCAAATTAAGTTTTATTTTCTTTTCTCTAGACACTTTGAAGCATTATTTTTCCAGGAACAGCACAACATCCACCTTGAAATATGCAGTATTGATTTTTCACCCAAGAATCCCTTGGAAAGTGAGCAGTCATGTGGGCACACACACAGTAGAGCAGCCCCTCTAACAAAATTTCCCTGTAACAAAACAGATCTCAGCTCACCCCATCCCTTGTAAACATATTGCTATTTGAAGGTGGACATCCCTAGGGACTGAAGTGCTCTGCAAACCGATGGAAGAGTGCCCCAACGAGAACAGCTCTGAAGTTGGAGTGAGGAAGGACAACCAACCAACATCAAAATTGCTTTGTTTTTCTGCAGAAACCAAATGAAAGCATGCAAGATTACTGAAGTAGTACATATCATGCTCACAGCCATAAGTCTCAATGATTTCTAAGTACCAGGCTCCTAGCAGAATCTCCTGGAACAGAGACGAATACCCCCCCTCTAATATGGCTCCTCCTCCTTTGCTCCAGAGGAATCACTATAATTACTGTATCCATTTAATTTCCTTTTCCCATAGGAGTGGTGCTTTGTTTCCTTACAATCGAAGCATCAGATTACTACTTCATCTAGTGCTGTCAATGGAGCAAACTGATGCACAGGCCAGTCAGATACCTTCACCTCATGCTGTCAAGTCTAGCTACACCACATGGTTTGCTGCAGACATACTCATGCTAACTCTGAGCCCAGCCACTGTATCCATGCAATATGATTTTGTTCTGACATCTCCCAACCAATATGACTACTTAAACCTGGGCAAAATCCACCAGCTTTGCTATTCAGCATGGGTATTGTTTACATTTCCAAAACAAGCGCTACCTCTGCTGTTAGCACCATGCACTGCTGCACAGCAAAGGTAATGCCACACTTGCTCTACGGCGCACGTCACAGCAGACAAATGTATTTACTGCCTTACTCTTCTAGGACAGATAATTAGACAAAAGGTAGGATCCTTGCGGCAGAGTTGAGGTTCCCCATGAATACTCATTCATCAACAGCTCCCGCCGGCTGTGCCCTATGTCAAAAAGCAGATTTCTAAGCCTTGGGAACTTGGATGCCAGTGGCTGAGAGAATGCTCTTCCATTAGTCATAACTCACAGTGCAAACAGCCTCTAGTAAACACAGATGCACTGGGGACAGGGATTAACCTAGAGATGAAGACACTGTAATGAGTTGTTCTATATTTGCCCTCTTTAAATCTGGCTCTTGTCACAGGAGTAAACAGATCTCATCTTTAGCAGCAGTGCCTTCAAAGGAGCATTGCTAAAAATCAAGGTTAACACTATTTATTGAGAGATGCAATTGCACAGAGGGTCACTGCAAATTTGCTGGCTCGTTATTATTAGTCCTTTGCACATTGAATATGACTGTCATGGTATCAAGGATGGGAAGAAAGAATGTAGGAGATGAAGGCAGGAAAGGGTAAAAACTTCTAAAAACACCTTGATACTGCAGGAATACACCACCTTTCATGTGAAACTAAGACAGACACATGGCCAAGTCCTAGCAAGAAAGTCCCTACTGAGAACTAAAGCAAACTCCCACTCCCCAGCACAAGCACAGCTACACAACAGGCTGCCGTCAGCTTCTTTTAACTTCTCAATAGCCCTCTTCCATGCTCAAGAGCATTCTCTACTGTCAATGCTGTGGCTCCATCCAGACAGCCTCCTGCCTGCACGCAACATGGAACAAGCACTCCGGTATTTTGAACTGCAGACACGAAATAGAGGCAGCGATCACCTGTTCTATTTGGCCGTGCTTAAAAGAAAGCCCATGGCAGTGCTAAGCCTTTAAGTGATAAGCTGAAGGAAGGAAGAGAAAGCTGCATGGGCAGTCGATTCTCTCAAGATGAGAAAAGTTGGTGTCCTCTTTACACAGACTTTCAGTAGTTTAGCTGAAACAAGGGAAACCTGTGCACTGACACTATACTCTGCCAGGCATGATTAGGTTTTTATCTAAATCTGCTGTCAGGCAACGCTCATGGGAACGCACTTTAGCAAAAGCTAAATGAGCTCAGCTGAAATTAGACCACTTATGTGACATTTTGCACTCGGTTATCAGTTTATTGAAAAGTACCAGCACCACAGCATAAGTCTTTCCTCTCTTCACAGGCTTTCTGAGCTCCTGTCAGGCATACCAGATTCATTTACAGGGAAATAAACAGGGACATCACTAAAAGAAAAAATATTCTATTATGAATATACACCAAAATGCTCAACTGGTAGAGGAAATTTCAGACTGTTGTTCTGGATAACCACAGAGGTTCTTGGGAACTTATCTGCATAAGCATCTAGGCTAAAGAGAGCAGACTCCAAATTAAGGTACAAGTCATACAGACCTTTAGCACTCGATAAGCAGATAGAGCCACTCTCTGCTTATGCAAATTGCATTTAAATGCCCCAAATCTCTGTAATTCTAAGCATGCGTGTTCTATTCAGTTGAAATAGGGGGGACACAAAACATTTCATAATACTGAGTTCCTCTGCACCATCTCTTCTCCTTCCCCCTGCAAAAGGTTAGGCCACAGCTATTAAAGGAGGTCCTCATGGATAAGTGGTCATTGTTCCATTGAAGCCAGTACAGTAAAGTGTTCCATCAAGGATTATTTAGTTGCCTTGCTCTGCCTGCAAGCTGAGGTCTAAGAGGAGCACACCACCCTCCTGTGGTGCACTCAACTGGAGCTCATGAGTCCTACTGCTCGGCTGCAGCTTTGCCCATGAGCATGATGTATCCAGGTCATTTGATTGTCAACACAGGAGCAAAGAAACTTGGCGTAACATGGGAACGAGATGGCAAAGCCCATCATTGTTTTTGAAGAGAAAGAATCACAGAAAACCTCAAGATTCAGATACTCGCCTCAACCTTGATGGCACAGCGCCCAATTGCTCGGACAGCCTTACGCACGAAGTCAACGTCCACCTCAGTAGCGTATTCCTTGAGCTCTGCCAGGACCTGCAGAGAAAGCACACCAACGTGAGTCCCTGGGGTCACACAGAAAGAACATCCCACTCTGACAAGTGATGCTACTTGAATACCAGAACACGAGCAGGATGCGTTCTTCCACAGCCAACCACACACATTCAAAGCTAACACAGTCAAACTCTGCAATCAATCTCTATCTCGGAAACCCACTGGTTTGGATTAGGCAGCAAGACTTAGTTTAAGCTGGCCAAAGCCAAAAGATGGCTCGCTCTAGATTATTTTCAAATTCCCCTGAACAAAAGCTGGGGGCAAAATCAGCCCTGCCAAACTTAAATGTTGCTATTCATTCTTACATGGAAAATACAATGAAGTGGGGGCCATATCCATACACACAGATTTTATGTACAGTTCATTGTACTTATTGTTCTACATTCACTGTATGCCAAGCTCTCAGCAACAACCATTTTTGATCTCTCCTCTTCTGTGCCGAGATGAACCTCTGGATCCCTACTGGATCCCAAAAGAAGATGCAAAGGAGATCTGAGGACACCCTGAAACACCTATACAGAGATTAATAAGACGGGAAGTATCTTCACAGTGTTAAGAGTAAGATTTACTATTCTGTCTCAGTTTTTTTGCTAATGGAAACTGAACAAGGGCTTAGACCAGGACCTGCTGGAATCTTACAGACCACTAACTAAAAAGCTACTTTGTCTTAAAAAATCACTTAGCTTAGAAAAAATTATTTTAAAAAAGACACTATGCAATTTATATTCCCTCAAAATCTCATTTGTTTCAGTTTCTCATGTCAAACATGACATCAGGGATTTCATTGTGATGTCACAAATTGATTGCAAAGGAGAGGTGAACAGCACAAAGACAGACAGTTGTTTCAAAAATCTCTAGGCGATGCCAATTGCTCAAAACAATGACAAGATCAAGAGGCCTTGAAGGGCCAGACTGCAGACAAATAAATCTGCAAGGAGTAGACTGGACATCTGTGTTTTGAAGTTTTATTATTTCCTTGGATGATCTATGTTGCGCAGCACTCACAGGACCTGGGTTTAGTAGCTTACGCTTTTCAAATACTGCCCGAGTTTGAGGGACTCGGATACAACTAGTCTGCAGCCTTTGCCTAGAACAGGCATGGAGATGAAGAGTCTTGACAAGCCACACAGGGAGGATGTGGGTAGAAGCCTGCTCTCCTTGGGTCTCGTTTCAGGGCATATTTCTGATTGTTTTTAGGAATGTCTCTTTAGAGTCAGGAAGAGATTCATTCATTAGTCTGCAGATCCCAGTCCCAGACTCTGCCCTCCAGACACCACTGCCTTTCATCCAAACCACCTGCATTATCTAAACATTATGCATTAAGATTGGTATGGAACCTACCAAGAGTAAACAGAAAATTCTGAATACATTCTCACGGAAACTGATTTTTAGAATGTTTTCCATGTCCCCAGCACAAAAGGGGCATGAATTACCTTGCTCTGTTCCAAAAAACATCAGAGGAGAAAGCTGAAGAGAGCTGCTTAAAAATGTCATATTAAATGAAATTACTCTGTGACAATTAGCATAGGACAATAATAGCATTAACCAGTGGCGTTAATCATTCTGCGTTAGTGTTAGGCCTTGTGGCCAGGGTCACACTCGAGAACTCTTCCCTTAAGAAAGGAATTTGGATTAAAACAACGTCAAATCCAAGGAGAATCTACACTGTAAAGCAGTCTCAATTCAGTTTAGCTTTAGCTTTGTGCTATTTCCACTCTGGAAGCAAGTTAAGCAAAATAAATTTTATTTTAGCTCTGAAGAGTGCCTGTGCAAGAGTGTAACAATTTAACTAACACACTTGAAATTCACACTTCAGTAATGTTTGGTCTTTTTGAATGCCTCCATTACATGCACACTCCTCTCCCTTGAAACAAGTTTCTCATTCCAATCTCTGCACTAGCAGTGACTCATTTGACAGGAGACATCAGTTCTCCTCCTGGAATTGTAATCTGTAAAACAAGATCTACCTAACAGTCACGATGCAAGATATACCATAATATTAACATTGAAATTATGGAGGAAGCTCCAACATCTCCCATTAAGTAGCTGCAAAGAGCACTATACCAGGGACAGTGATGCCTAAAAGCCAGGACAACACTAGCAGTAGTTGCATACATCCTCACGCAAGGACCATGAGAGGGTTTTCTGTCCCCAGAACACATGCAGAACGCATCAGAAGTTCCTTAGCTGACCTGTGCAATGTTTGCTTGAGAAGCTAGGCGGATCATGATGTCCAGTTTCTCCAGTTTGACATAGATGGGATCGTTGTACTTCACAAAGAACACCTTGATTTCCTGCTTCAGGATTTCAGGCCTGGAGAGAACATAACGTTGTTTCACTCAAGACTGGTAAAAACAATGGGCTCTATCCTAACCAAAGGTATCTTTTGTTTAGAAATCTACCCAAACATTCACTGAGTAACAGAATGGTGTCACTTTGTGTCCAGGACACGCAAACAAACCTATGAAAACAATTTGAAGAGAGTTAGAAGGCTAGAGAAAAAGATTGTTTAGATACAAAATGCAGAATCTCTAACCATGCCTACATCTCCTTTTGAACTGCTGAGCCAACCACTACAGTCAGTCAGTGGATGACAGCACTTTCAGTGAAAGGGTAACATCCTTACCTCAATGCAAAACCCACCTGCAACCTCATTTTCTTTCACTTGCAAGATGCCAGTGCACAGTAACTCTGCCCTGAATACAATCACAAAGTGTTATCTGACCTATCTCACCTTTCCAGCAACGAACAACAGTATTTAAACATGCACATGGGAGCAAACCGGTGAAAAAAAACAACGCACTGTACATCAGTATGTCACCAGCCTGGTTCTTGTATGCTGAAGAGAATAGCATAGGCACACTGAGTTTCTACAGGTCACTATGATCTCTACAGTTACACCCTTCTTCCCATTTGCAATCTAATTTATAGTCTAATGAGAGGGCAGTTCTTACTGCTCTTAAAGAGGCAAGGTAAAGAAATACTGTATGATATCAGCATCACAAGTATGCTGTAAAGAAAATTAATTTAGGCTACCAGAGTCCTGAGACTGTTTAATCCATCCCTCGAGGGATCTGAACCTGGATTAAACGAAGTCCTGTGGATGTGGAAATATGTGAGGGTCTGAGATAACCAGATGCCCTTTGACAACCCAGGAGTAACACCCCCTGAGGCTTTACCTTTTCTGCACAATCAAGTTGATGTTCCTCAGGGCAACATACTGAACTTCAGGCTCTCCAGACAGCAGGGTCACCAGCGGAGGGGCAAGTTTCTTCAGCAGCATGTTGTAATAGTCAGAGTCCTTGGGAAGAAGTTCCAGGAACTTCATCAAGACCTTCACTGCCGACAGCACCACTGCTGAGTTGGCGTGAGACAGCCGAGGGGTCACCCGTTCACAAATACTGGAGACAGAGGGGTAAGAAAGGGTTCACGTGTATTTCAGAATGTCAAGTATTTCAGACCTTACCTGAATTTAGGAGATTGTACATGGCTGAAGACAGTTTCTCAGACACTACTTTGATTTGGGTTTGTTCACAAAGGACAGGCAAAGTCCTGCTTTCCAACACAGCAGGAAGCAAACAAGAATGACTTCTCTCACAGCTTCAAGTTTCTCTCCTGCCACAGTTAGCTCAGGAACTCTTCCAGCTCGCAGCATTACAGTTCCAACACATGTTCAGTTATTAGGCTTTCTGCCTTTGCCTGGTGGTATTCTCTATTTTTGTGATCTCATCCATCAATTACAAACACAACTTTAACAGAACAGCTATCAGAAAAACACTTTAGCCCCCATATAATCATTTAGAGGCGATACATGCTTCTGGCTTGCTCAGGGGGGTTGCTGCCATTTCAACCATTTGTTTCTGAAAAAAAAGGTTTCTGTTACTCTGAAGATATAGGG